TTGCTCTAACATATGAAATTCTGTGCAGAGATTAGTAGCGGAGCTTGTTCAGTCTTCAGGATTGTCACTCACAACGGTCAACCCCATTAGTTCCTAATTATAGTTATGCATATGTACTCGTGAGTATTAGTCGTTGGTAAGTTTGAATGTTGATGTGCCAAAGAATTGGAACACAGTGCTAGAATATCCAATCTTTGGAGTAAACTAATATGTAAATGTCTTATTGTCTGTTGAAATTGATGTTAGTTGAGAACGTCTTGCTTGATCTTCTCTTTGACAATTTCAACAAATGCTGTTGAATCAATATGCCAGACTCTTGGTACTAATTTGTTAGTTATTGTTCTATCATCTAGCTTTGGACATAAAGCACACAATTCCAATGTAAAACTGATGGCTTATGAGCTCAAGATACTAATAGTGTGGAAACTGTATGTGTTGGGTTAGGCATACGTCATAGGCTCGAACTATGTTACAAGACAAAAGCCTGTTATTTAAGTACAAAAAAAGGTTGAGGGATGGACCATTATCCCTATAAACTTGAAGCCTTGTGGCCTCTAGAAGAACATGTCTCCATGTGTTAGATCTAGGTGCATTTGAAAGTAACAATATTTAGAGAATTTACTTTTCGTATTTAACCTATGATTCTGTCTCCACTATGAATAATTTATAGGTTAAAGCAGTTGTCTGGTCCTAATAGCAAACAGATGGACTTCATTAAAAAAAAAAAATGAAGATATGAATTACTATAATGTTGACAATTGGAGAACCCATCATGCCCATATTTGACCCAATGCAATCACTAATTTCGTGAAGTTAAGCAAACACATGGCTATACTAACAATAAAATCATATGGACACAAGAAATACTACAACTCGAATCGTCGAAATAAATAAAAGATGCGAAAATGATTACTATATTACTTCGTGTAAAAAATTATGGGTTGAGATGATCATATGAACTATAGATAAAAGGCTACATCCACCTCTAGATAGGCATTGCGCAACGCAGAATATCAATGGGACGTAATTAATTCGCATAAAATTTATAAAGGATTTTTGACATATGATTTATTTTATAGAATGGATAGTGGCATATATTTTTTATTAATGACATGATTAATGGCACCCTTTTTTTGTTTTTGGAAGAAGCATATACTTTTGATAGTGAACATGAGAGGGGGTTAGCAGATAATCATAATTAAACAAACAAATAGCAAGTGTGGATCAAGAATAATGATGAAAGCATATTGTGCACATTAAAGCATGAAAATAAAATGTAAAGTCACAAGCACCGAAAGCAAGTTGCATATGTGTTGTGTAGGGTCCGCTGGCGGAGCCAAAAATGTTCAAGAAGGGGTTCAAAATTCTGAAGAAGTAAACACACGAACTAGCCAAAGGGAGTTCGACATCTATTATATATATATATATAATTAAAGAGTATAGACTTGTTTGTCCATACATATTTTTTTTCTAACTATAGTGTCCAGACCAACTTTCACGCATCTCGACTAATTTCACGGGATACCTATCATCTCCCACAAACAACAAGTACCATATATCTATTCACCAAAGCTAGGATAGATGGTATGCATTACCTAGTATTTTTTGTCTTCACAAACTTGTGACCTCAGAATTCTCAACTAGTTTCATCTCAAACAAGTAATCGTATATCACATCATTATATTTGTTATCTCACGTTTATGGTGAGGTGCATGCACTAACCCATTATATCAAAGAATTTTGAGTACTCGACAGTACACCTCATCATGAAATGCGATGATTCTTGGGTAATCAATATAAACGATGAATTATGAATACTCCTACTGTTTTATAAATGGACACTCCACTATTTTCATTTCTTTTAATTGATGCAAATTAAAAGGGTTTATAGTGGTCATCACTATTTATTTAAATTAAACATAAAATTAAATTGTGTAAACTAATGAAAGTAAATTGATGCTATTTTCAATCTTTTCCCTAAAAAATAGATAGAGATGGGTAGAATAATCAGAAACATGCAAGAATTAGGTAGTAGGGAGTCTTTTACGAAGCCGCATTAGTGACCTGATTTTAATTGCATTAATTGACTTGTCTTTCACCTCGAAAAAGATAAAAAGAATATTTCTAATTTATATTTTATATGTTTTTAAAAATAAATAAAGTAATTAAACATGATGCATGATATATATTATATATAAAATCGAATAATCGAATTTAATCGGATTTTAATATAGATATAAAAAGAAATTGAGCAATTGGGTCCCCCTATATTAAAATGCACACTCTCATTGCATCAAAATAATGATCACTGGTATGCATGCCACAACTAATTATCACATGAATACAAGCAAAGTACTAAATCATACACCTTGATGATTCTCTATAATGTACTCTTTATGGGCATTAAAATAAATTATTCCTTGTTATTGAGCTACAGACCTACTCTTTTTTTTTAACGTAGGTACGTCTTCGATACACTATAATAAATAAAGAATTTTGTGGCAATAGAAAATATGAATATTTATAACCAACACTCTATATAAATGTTGCTAAAGGCTATTACGCCTCTACTCACTCTAGATGCAATGATATAAATTCAAGAAAAAGTTACATAAATATACCATAAATAAAAAATATTTACCATTTATAACAATAAGATTTTTTTTTCCACTTGATCACTTTTAATACATTTATAATACAGTTTTAATACATATTACAAAGAACAATTTATTATTCACATGTAATACAAGTTTTATTGATGGATAATACATTTATCACACATTTTAATACACTTATAATACAATGTGTCAACTTCTTACCAAACAAGCATAATATATTTTTAAAAACAGTTATAATACATATATATTGCATACTTAATTCACTTTTAATACATATTGCAGATTTAACATAATATTGTTTTGTATTGCTATAAATGGTAATAAATAAAAAATATCGTTAAAATCCGTAATTATTTATTAAAATGAACTCATCCAAGTAATTATTCCTTGATAATATCGCTAAAATGAAAATCTATTGTCACTAAATATCTCTTGGTGTACTGTTTGCTCTATTTTCAACCACAATTTTTAATATTCTCTTTCATATTATCACTAATATTTTACTGTCCTAAAACAAAACGCAAGTGATAATAATTAAGGAGACAATCGAGATTGATATGACTGGTCGATGCAGCGCCAATTTGGACAATTCTTGGTCATGGTTTTTACATTTGTTTTCAGATTAAGCTTGATATGGCCTTCGTGTCACACATTGAAAAGTAGTCCCATGCCATCTCATATCAGGAGCGGAGCTAGAATTCTAGTTTCATATTCAGTAGCATATCTAGTAACTTCGGCCAAAACTTTGTAGTAATAGTATTAAGAAATCTACTTAATATGTATCAACAATTTATTCAAACTTCAGTAACTAAATTGTCTTTTCTAAAATTCAAAACTCATAACTTAAAATTCTTGATCCGCCTTCGAATGAGAGCTGATTTACCTTTCAACTGATGAACAGTTAAAACATCTACGTCTACCGCAACAATTGTTGTGACAGACTTTCACGCGTGTAGCCCCGTGTTGACTTGAACTAGTGACTTGATAATTTTTGGGTTGTACATAATTATGTTAATCATAACAGGAGGTAATTAAACAATTGCACTAATGGTACTTTCTGAACAAAACAAATTCCTAACTATTCAATTTTTTTACCAATGTTTTCCCTATAAATTGAGCTATTGACTATGCTAAAATGCAGCAACTCTCTCTTATCTATTGAAGCAAAAAAAGAAAAAAAAAACAACTTCAAGTGACAGTAATGAAGACAGCATCAAAGCTTGCAGTTCTCACAGTTCTAGTTCTGCTTCTTGCTGAAGCACATATCTCTGTAGCTGTAACGTGCAGCGCGATTCAGCTGAGTCCTTGCCTTGGCGCGATCACATCGAATTCAGCACCATCTACACTCTGCTGCAGCAGAATCAGGGAACAAAAGCCTTGCCTCTGCACTTATCTCAAGAACCCAACTTTAAGGAACTATGTCAACTCCCCTGGTGCCAAGAAAGTTGCTCGCACTTGTGGTGTTCCCTACCCCAAGTGTTAATACTACATTTGAAGAATCATGTGCTTCTTGCTAAGTCTTGTATGTGAGAAGTGAAAATAATATGTTTGATGCACTCTTATCTCATGAGAGTCACAGTGTGTGCTATCATCTATACTCTTTGTTTTAGTTATTATGTGTTTTTGCTTGCTTTATTTATGCACTCTTGAATGAAAAGAGATGAAATCATGTTATGTCAACATATGTACAAGTTCTGTCATAAGTACTCCTAAGACAATAAATGGTATTTTTCTATGACTTTATGTCTCTATAATGCATCATTGGCCTTGGATTTACAGGGACTGAATGCAAAAAAAATTACTTGCAATTTTCAACTCAGGTGTGATCCAGTTCTTTGTACCAATGTGCTTGTAGTTCCTGCAACAACCATATCTTGTTACTTCTATTCACGAACGAAAACTTCCAAAAAAAGGACATAAATACATAAGAGAGATATAGTAAAGAGGACATCTACCGGAGAAAGAAACGCGCGAGAAAACTCAAAAAGTAGGAATGTAAGTGGAAAGGAAATTACCGGACAGACTCAAAATACTTCTGGGAAAAAACTGATTCACCTTTAATTAGGTACATTAAGTCAACCAAAGTGGAGTGTTTGTCAAATCCAATGTGAGGAAGAATATTAGAATTTGTTGTTGGGACCTAAAATTAAACTCATAATTTGTCATGTTGTTACCTTATTATCATTCTAGATGAAATTACAGTTCCATATCAAGCCTAAATGTAGGAGGATTTACTAGTAGGCATAATAACAAACCCCTCTGTTTCCATTGTTTTCTCTGTCTTCCCTTCACTGCTCCTCTTCTTGCTATGTGTATGGCAGAATTATATGCTTGTGCAGAAAATTTGTATAGGTGAACAAGTACAAATCTAGTATAATAGATCAATTTCAATTGAATTCTTTATTCAGACAATGAAGTTGCATGATGTGATGTCAAATTCCAATCTTCCATACTGCTCTAAATTTAATCAGTTGTAATGGAACAACTTGGGAGGCTCCAAAATTGGGAGGCTCCAGAGTTTCATGTACATGAAAAACAACACGCGATACAATTAATTTACTTACAAAAAGAATCTAAGCTTCTCTCAGATATGGAGAAGGTCGGAAATTTGGTTCCAGCCAGCGAACCATGGCCTCCTATCTGATGGAAGGACAAAGTTAAGCTCAAACATCTCTCTTGACATGTTACCTCCTTCGCAGAAACCTACGAGCTTTGCCACTATCTCAGCACTCTCTTTTACGTGCTTTTCATCATGCGGATTTGTCCAAAGCTTGTTAATAAATTGCATTCTTCTCTGTTTTCCCTCCAAAGGAACTTCCCATTTTATGTATAGATAATCTCTTTCTTCAGCTGTCAGGCGGGTTGTCAATCTCTTGGCAAGGAATTCCCTTTCCCTCTTTATAGCTCTAATGCTGAATTCCATTGGAAAATATAAATCATTAGAGTTTGAGCATGAGGCAGACTTGCATTTAATAAAAAAAACCATGGGGAAAGAGAGGAAAAGAAAAATACCTTGATGACAAAGAGACTGTTGGCTCATTTCCAACACGGGCCGGGGTTGCATTTCCAAGCTCTGCCAGGTGCTGTTGTAACCATGTCAAGCGCCTGAGTTCAACTTCCAGATATATTTCATCGGCAGGGTCTCCCTTGAATAACAGGTAGAACTGTGACCTGTGAATAATGGAGACGTAGCAAACATCCCATAAGTCAATAATTTGCTGCCTCTGTTCCTTAAATGTGATCTGCCATGAAACTGGGGACTCTTCTGGTATCTGATGAATGTTTTCATCATCTTCTAAATTGTATCCAGCTGCTTCATTTGCTTCCAGCTCAAGCACCTACAGGCACAAACAAATAATAAAGTAAAATTAAAGATAAGTATAATTGCGGCAAAGGGGAGGATTCCGAAATTTTGAACAACTTCAATTAGTGTGACACAAAAACAAAGACAGTACAAGTTTTACCTGGCATACAAGGAGCTGCTTTTGGTATTGAAGTTTGGCCACCCGTTCTTTAAGTTCTGTCACATACGATCTTATGTTTCTGACGTTCTCTTCTGCTGCCTCCTGAAACATCTTCTGCATCTTTCTCATGTTTACAGAACTGGAACGGCGATATGGAGTGCCTTCCTTTGATGAAATATCTCCTCCATCACTTTTCGTAGGAGTCTCATTTTCATGCATAGGCTGAATTTCACAGGACAAATCATCCGAATCTGGAGCTCGATTTTCAATCTCACAATCCAGTACTTGTCGTGCTGTTGACAGAGGAGAACAAGGAGATTTCAAGAAATTTTGCCTGTTGATACTGTTGCTCGAGGCCAATGGGAGCAACTTCTTCTTTTTTGATGGATGCTTTGCCTTTTGTGTGGTGTCATTGTTTGACTGTTGATCATTATTGCTTGGAAGAGACATAACCAGTTTGTCCAATGATTTCTGAACATTTTCTAGCTGTTCTTCAAGATCAGCAATTGTGCTTCCTTGTGAGTGAAGTCTGGCTATCTCGTCCTTCAGGTTGGCACTGACACTCTTATTAACAGCAACGACATTTCCAACTTCAACTTCCTTGCGGACTGGCGGTACTGAACGCATTTCTCTGATCTCTGCTTGCAACTTAGCAATAGTTTCTGCAGCATCCTGGTTACCTAGCCTATGACATGCAACTTCCTTTTGCAGTACTTCCAATGCTCGATTTGCTTCATCTCCGAGCTGCTCCTGGAGATGTTCGAGTTTACGAATTTCATGCATGAGTGTAAAAGGGGCAGCCAAAGATTGCCTCATTGACTGCCTTCCCATTGTGTTTCTTGTTCTTTCACCACGGACAGGTGCTTTTTCTTCAAGGTTTGGAGATAAGGTGCCAGAGAATGAGAGACATTTCTTCACAATTGGACTAACAGATTCAGATGGTTTCAGTCCCTGGTTCAAGAATTCAATATTAGCACAAAGAGACCTTTACTTCACTGTGAATTACGCACAATGCAAGAAAACTTAGATACAAACCTGTTCCTCCCGAAGCTTTCTGCGTAACTCGTCAACTTGTGACTGTGCAAGATCCCTTTGACGCTTCAGATCCTCAATTTCCATTTCCATCTAAAAGGGCCAGTCAGTCAGTTAGTTAAATAAATGTTAACACTTCAATTTCATTTTCTTAAGGAAATTCATCGTTGATGAACCTGTTGAATTTTCCAATCTTTCTCATTAGCTGGCTCTGGGGTGCGCAGCTCTGCTTCCAATCTGGCTACTTCCTTCTGCAAATGCTTGACAAGCTGTTTGTCGGAAACAACCTGATATTTAAGGTAAGAGAGAAGTTCAATATTTGTGTTAAAAACTTAAAAGATAAAATGAGGTACATCTCATAAAAGAGGTACACATTCACAATAAGGTTTTAAAGGCAAGTTACTGAGTGTACCATGTTCACTTGTGCATTGTTTGTGACTTCCTTTGCTCGGGTAGCAAAAAAGAGAGTGTTGCGAGATTGTTCAACGTGACTTGATGCAGGGCTAAGCGTGCATATTATCGCAGTACGGGCATTTCCACCAAGTGAATGTTGCAATATTCTTGTCAGTTTTGAGTCCCGGTAGGGTACATGACCACTTCTTTTGCCCACACTACGTACAGGAAAAAACAAAAGAAATGAACCAATCAGACTGGAGAACTGCAGTGACAAAATAAGTTATCAACTCCAGTAAGCTGATATAGACGGGTATGTCATCAGCATAAACAAGGAGTTAACTTTCATCACAGAACTAAAGAAGTAATGAGTTAACTTTCATCACAGAACTAAAGAAGCACAAAAATACAGTCACATAAGTGAAAACAGACCTGAGCTTTCTAATTACGGTTGTTAGAGTCATCAAACTGAGATTGATATGGCAGCCTTCCCTAAGCCTGGCACCATCTGCATTTGTCTGTGAGGCTCTTTCGCTCCCAGCCAAATCAACAAAGTTCTGCAGCACAGATATATTAATGATAAAGGTGTCTCTATCTCTCTTAAGTGTCCTCTAAAACAATCAAGGAGGAGGTTAATTTACCAAGCTTGCTACATAAGACCTCACGCAATCAGAACTTTCACGATGAGTGCTTTCTATTGTCTGCATATGATAAGAAGTTATAGTAGTCCGTTTAGAAAAGTTGTTGCTTAGGAGATTTCAATTTGGGAACACAAGACTTTCGGCACACAATTGAGGACTAACCAGTCTTATTATCTGGTGGGATCGTGAGCTCGTATCGTTTAAGGCTGTTTCACCGACTTGCCTCTGAGCTGCAGATTTAAGTGGTACATGTTGAAGATGGATTTGCTGGGGAAAACTAATATAAAGCAATATCACTTCGAAAAGAATCAAATTCTTACCCTCACAGATACTAATTAAATGCCTCAGATGCTGGTCATTGCTTGCTGTTTCTTCCACCAATTTCTCAACGACAGTTCCTTTCTGCAAATTAAAAAGATATCATGAAAAAATGATACAGAGAGTAAAGGCTATAAATTTGAAGGCCCGTTAGTTTTTGCTCAAGTTTACCTCTGGATCATCAAGAAGCTTGAGATTTCGACCAGATTCAGAATTCAATAGGTCCCTGACATTTTCATTGTAGATCTCCAGTCCAGATATTCTTATTCTGAATTCTCTTTCTGGGGTCTATGACAATTGTCAAATGACCAAAAATAAAAATAAAAAATCAGCAACAGTTCCAAGGATAATGGCACTAAGAAAGACTGTGATTTTTTGTTTTATTTCAAAGCTAAAGAAACTAGTATAAGACATGATGTATTTGCAGAAAATACAAGAAACAGGAACTACTTGACTTATCATTTATTACTCATCTAGGATAAAGATCATGTAAACTACATGCTTCAAATATCTCAAAGTATAACAACTCTTTTCTACTAATTCCAGTAATCCCATTTGTGACGTGTCTTCAATGACCTTGGAAAATTCTGACATCAAGAAGTATCAGATGACAATAGCAGTTGCTCAAGAATGATGAAGCTTACACTCATTATATGGGAATATATGTCGTTGACAGCTTTCTCAGTAATTCCTCGCATTGTGTAAGTCTTCCCACTGCTGGTTTGTCCATATGCAAATATGGTTGCTGAGATGCAAAGAATGGAAATTAATCTATGATCAAAAGGTTTCCAAAAGCTAGAGATGTTCATATAAAACCTCCCTTCAGAGTAGGGGGAAGAGAATTACCATTTATTCCCATCAAAGAGGATAAAGCCACATTCTTTACTCCTTCCTCATACACGGCTTCAGTTATACTATCTGGACCGAAGACTTTATCTGAGATAAAAGAAAATGTACATTCTCAATCAGATTTTATAGAGTCTAAATTGAGATAAGACAACAAAATGACGAACATTTAAAGCAGTGGATGTGTCAATTACCAAATGTGAATGAAGCTGGTTGAGCAGCACGTTCCTGAGGCAGTGATCTATAAATAATTGTGTGATCATCAATGCATTCCCATGCAGCATGGTCCTTGGCTGAAAGCTCCCTTTTGTTCAAAGGCCTTAATCTTACTGTTACAACAATTTTCTCCTCTTTAGGTCGATGTCCACTTGGCGTGGTTGCTGGAGTCCGTTCTATCTTTGAAGCTGGAGTACCAGGAGTTCTAACTGTCATCTTGACTAGTACTAGACTAATAATCCTCCAAAATGAACTCCAGCTGAAAAATGCAAAGGCCTGTTGACACAAGACTGAGATACTTGAATTCTTAGATGTCTTGATGATCTTCTTGTAAAAAGAAAACCAATCACACTCTAACTCAGTGCTAGAACTTGTAAATTATGATTAGGAAAATAGTTGTCCTGTTTTGTTGGCAAAGGTAAGATAGGATAGGTGTGGAATACGACAACACCATGCTGATGCTATTCTTTTGTGACAATGAGTGAAAACTTGATAAAAGTATACACATTTAAAGATTATGGTTCGAATTCAAGACACTAAGTGAGGAAACACCCCTAGACCTCTATATATCCTCCCCTCCCAGGAACTACAAAAATTAAAACCCAAAATTTTAAACTTTATTTATGTTTATGAGGCATAGAAACACACAAGATGGGCATATCTTTACAAGTGAACCTAACATTAGTTAGATACAACAAAGAGAGAGCCTTACACAAAAAAGAGTAACCAAATAGCTTAGATCTCAGTCTACTTTCCTATTCTCCACTTCGACAACCGATTAAAACAGTAGGCCTTCCTTATTTGACAAATTAATCTGAATCTCGCTAAATTCCACCAAATTCAAGTCACATTCACAGTAAGCACTAACTAGAAAACAAATCAACAACATACTCATTGTAATCCCTCAAATGGAGGTGGTGAGTAGAGAGGGGTTTCTGATCGACCGTCGGCTCAAGAACTAAGAACTACTTTACAACTACTACATAAGTGAAGATCATTGAGCGAAATAAGGAAAGAGAATCTAACGACATGAAGTAGCATTTGCATCTTAGCACCAATTTTCGCCTGAAATTGAAAAAGGAAATACAACACAGAAATTGTTGTTGAGATTTACCTGTAAGGAACAGAAGAAGAATGATTTGCGCCTGAGATCTGAGAAGACAAAATCTGATTGAGAGAGAAAAAAGGGATATAGAAATGGAAAGAGTGTGAGCTTAATGGTGTATCTCTCTCTTTGATACCGTCTGTAAATTGGGGCTTTTGAATTTCGAGTCCCCAACGGCTAGTTCATTATCTCGTGTTTAAATGGACTTTTCGTTTTTATCTCGTTAATATATCGCCGATCTTGCGGTGCAGCGCTCTAGGATTAACGGTTTTGTGACTTTGTCATTTGTAAATTAATTTCTTTCCGACAAAAGAGACAAACTGATGGGATATAATTTGCTTTGATACCCCTCAATTTAGGGGGAATGGGAACTTAGACTCTCCCTTTCCTAATATATTTCTCCTACTTTTGTTTTCTCTTCTCTTTTTTTTATTTCTTCTTTTCACTTTAACTTTGCCTAGTATCATATAAATGTCTTTTCTATTTCCATCTTTTGTCCTTTTGTGATACTTAAAAATTTGAGTGATTTTCTTATACTTCCTTTGTTTCATTTTATGTGAGGTAGTTTGACTCGGCACGGAATTTAAGAAAGAAATGAAGACTTTTAAAACTTGTGATCCAAAATGAATGATAGAAATTTAGGTGGCTGTCAATCATTTCATTAAAGGTAAAATAGACATTTTATTGTTAAATTGTTACTTAATTTCTAATATGTCATTCTTTTTTGGACTAACTAAAAAGAAAAGTAAATCACATAAATTGAGACAAAGGGAGTAGTATAATGTGAAAGTTGAATAAATTCGACTCTAAATAAAGGACAACAATTAAAAGGCCCATTTGAGATTTGTCAAGCCCATTTGTTTTAGTTCCGAAAATATGTAGAAAATAGGAAATGCGTGACTTTTTGTTACCCATGAAATGTCTCCCTTTTAAAGTTTTTTTTGGTAGAAAAAAAATCCTCTTTTACGTTTCTAGAAAATACTTCATTCGTCAAACAATAATTGTCCACTATATTATTTTGGGATGTCCAATAATATTTGTCCACTTTATAATATCAATGGATAATTTTACACTTAATTTCTAGTTTATCCTTTTCATTAATTATAGTTATTTCTTAATTATATTTTTCAAGACATTGTATTTATTATATTCAAAGATATAGTAAAATTATTCTTTTATTTATAGTTTTAAAGAAGTGCATAAAGTTAATAGTGGACAAATATTGTTAGACATAGATAATACATGGTAGACTTTTTCAGTCTTTGTGGAAAGTAGCAATCCGTGGAAAGAGTCATCAATACAAGCAGCCCTCCCTTCGTTGTCAATAATAATTACTCTATCAAAGATCACAATTTCCATTAGTCAAAACTGGATTATTTTTTCCACTTGGACATTAATTAATTCAATTGAATAAAGCGAAAAGGGGCAAATTCATCTCACTAATTTGCGATTTAGAGCGAATATATCTTTGTTATAATTGGAAATTTGAGGTTTTTGTTTTTGGTTGGATCGGGTTGGTTAAAAAAAAAGTTTGAGGGTATATTTGTCCCTTTATCATATATATATATATATATATATATATACTAGGCAAAACTTTTCTAGTACCAGCATGAACCCACCTAGTCACTCTTTGATGAGTTTTCACAAATGCATGATCAAAGCTTACTTCTTTCACTCCATCATCACCATCCTATGCTTCTTGAACACGTCCTCGCCATCGTATGGCCAAGAGGATAAACAGTATTCCACTTGTAATAGCTCCTACACCTGTGGGAATATTCAAAATATCAGCTTTCCTTTCTGGGGAGGTGATCGACCTCAAGAATGTGGTCTTCCACAATTCGAGCTTGCATGTGAAGCCAATCAGGATCCCCTTATACATATCGATGGTCATAATTTTCGCGTACTTGACATCAATGGAGACAATCAAACCATGAGAATTGCACGAAATGATCTTGAGGAAGACATTTGTCCTGATAGATTCGGTAAAACTAGCTTAAACGATGCCCCTTTCAGCTATGGTCCTAACTATATGATGCTCATCCTGTTCTATGCTTGTCCTTTCGATATACCTTCTGAATGGAAAAATTTCACCTTTAGCTGCAATAACACTGGAGATTCCAGTCATGGTTTCTATCCAGATCAGTCATTTATATCATTCTGGGGACCAAAGTATGGGAGTTGTGAGTACGTCACGGTTCCTGTGTTGCTATCAGCATTTAATCAGTTCCAAGACCAAAAAAGTATGAAAATATTGGAGCTATTGAAGCAAGGGTTTGATGTGGTTTACAACAAAAGCCTAGTATGCATAGCTTGTGAGAGATCAGGGGGATTATGTTGGTCAGAAACAGATTTTGCGGAGCCAACTTGCCTTTGTCCGGACCGAACTTACTCTTATTACTGCGGTTTAGAACCAGAACAAGGTGTGTTCCATCTCCCTATTCCCTAATCTAACTTAGTTCTGTTTACCAAATATTACTTGAATTCAATTGGCAGCTAAGAGTTTTAGTACTGAACTTCTGAAACCACTATTCTTTTTCCTGTTGAAATAAATACCATGATGAAATGCAGGGACGTCTCGACCATAAAGCCACCAAAGCAATCGCTTGGGGCATCAATTTTTTTGGCCTCCATTTTCTCTCAAAGATATATATATATATATATATATATATATATATGTTAAAAAAATTCATGTATTGATAAATTTGAAAATATTTTTTTGTATAGAAAATATAATTGAGAAATTGAATATTGTTTAGTTGATTGTAGTGTCTTTTCTATATTCTTATGTGGCTAGTTAATTGTAGTATCCTTTCTAATTTCGCATGTGGCTATCTATTTTGTTGTCTAGGTCATTTATATTTTGACGATTATCATAAACCAACAATATTGTGTTCGTATACTTACTTTTCTTTATTCTCCTTTCACTATTTTTTATTCTTTCATTATTGAATATTCTTGTGTCTCTCAAACGTTCAAACATTCTACATTATGTGATATCTATTATTGTGTGTTTATAAAAAGATCAATTTATTTTTGGTATCTTATTCATATTTCAAGCACTAAAACTAATCAACACTATTTTAATATTAATTATTAACTTATCAAATTCATCGCTACACTATTTTAATATCATCATATTTTTAAAATTTTGAGTCATGTTTTATTATTCCGACTTTTTTTTGGAACCTCATGATAACCCGCACCCACTACAACCTTTACCACAACCTCTGCAATTCAGGTGAGCACTCTGTGGTGAGCATTTTGTGAGCACTCTGTGGGTGAGCACTTTGTGCGCACTGGGTAAACCCCTTGTAATAGCCTCCAAACCACAAAGGGGATATAAACCGCACTAGGCAAGTCTTATGCGACAGACTCGACTCAGAAGGCGTAGGATTACACTAGTATATTATAATTATTCAATTTATATTTATCAACTTAAAAAAATAGGGTCTCTTTATAATGTTTGGATTTAGGCCCCTAAACTTGTTAAGACGATCCTGATGAAATGTGTGATCATCTCAACTTAAAGCTTAAGTTATTAGAGAAAACACATTTTTATTAGTTAATTATATTCTCAATATTTTCTGCACTAGGATGGGGCTAAATGTCGAGATTATGCCTGAATAACAGAGGGCACTGTGGTGCGCGGTTAATGAATCCAACTCCAAAGCAGAACATGTCAAGTCTAACACGTTTGACTATAATTCCATTGGACTAAAAACAAAATCTTCTTCCTTCGTTATAGATGTTGATGATTTGTATACTACCAGAAGATCCTTTATTATGGTTCTATATCAATTCATCACTTGTTTATCTCTGCATTACAGGCAATAATAGACATATCTCGGTGAAGAGAGCCCTAGGTAATTGTCTTTTTGACCTTGTTCTTATTATATTGTCCTCACAACATATAGATGAGACTCTTTTTTCGTCTGGTTAATTACAGGTATCTCTGCTGCTGGGATAGGAATAGTATTAATCTGCTACATGATCTACTGGTTTGTCTTTAAGAAATCATCTGCTACACGCCTTTCGTTACCAAAGCAGGGGAGGGAACATCAGAATGTTGAGACCTTCCTCCGGCAATATGGATCCCTTGCCCCTAAGGTATACAGCTATTCAGACATTAGGAAAATGACAAATTCACTTCAACAGAAACTTGGACAAGGGGGTTATGGAGGGGTCTATAAAGGTTACCTAAACGGCCGTCCTGTTGCTGTAAAGATTTTAAATTCTACCAAAGGGAATGGAGAAGACTTTATCAACGAAGTTGCAAGCATCAGTAGAACTTCACATGTGAACATAGTTACTCTGTTGGGATTCTGTTTCAATGGTCGAGAAAGAGCTCTTATTTATGAATTCATGCCAAATGGATCACTCGATCAACACATTTATGGTGAAGATTCTAAGTTGGGATGGGAAAAGTTGTACGAAATTGCACTTGGGATAGGTCGAGGACTGGAGTATTTGCACCGAGGGTGCAATGCACGAATACTGCATTTCGATATAAAACCTCACAACATCCTTCTTGATGTAGACTTTTGCCCCAAGATATCTGATTTTGGCTTAGCTAAACTATGCCTTCAGAAAGAAAGCATGATATCAATGTTGGAAGCAAGAGGAACCATTGGTTACATTGCTCCGGAAGTATTCTGTAGAAATTTTGGAGGCGTCTCACACAAATCCGATGTTTACAGCTATGGAATGATGATTCTTGAAATGGTTGGTGGAAGGAGGAACTACAGTGCTGAAAGAAGTCATCATAGTGAAATATACTTCCCGCGTTGGGCTTATCAACGCCTTGTGACAGATGAAGACTTGAATATACAATGCATCACGACCAAAGAAGACGAAGAAATTGCTAAGAAGATGATACTAGTAGGCTTGTGGTGCATTCAAACTGATCCCTCACAAAGGCCATCAATGAGTAAGGCAATTGAAATGCTTGAAGGTAACTTAGAGACCATCCAATTTCCACCAAAGCCTTTTATATGTTCTCCCTCGCAATCAGAAGGATCATCGATGATCCCTTTGGGGAAGCCAACAAAGCCCTTTATATATTCTTCTTCGAGTTCAACACTTGATTCTACAGAACATTTGGTTATATAATCTTTTATAAATTTGTTTTTAGTTTTATGTTTTTAAAGAAAATTAGAAGTGAATTATCATAAAGGGGTGCTAATGATATCGTTCGATCGGTTATTTTAAAAAAAATTATACCATTTCAATTTTTTGGGTTTTTTATAATGCAGAACCAAAATTAGATTTTTTAAAATCATCCTAATCATATCGGTTTCTCTTCGGTATCGATACAGTTTGGTTAATTTTCGTTTTTTTTTTTTACTTTTAAAGTATCACCTCAAAACTATTAAAATATTTTTTTCGCAAGTGTGATCTTAAAGAAGCACTTTAATTCTTCACCAAGAAGTTAAGAATATAAAGCATTGTTACTGTATTGTTTGATATTAAACTTTTAATAGGAGTGTTTGCAAAAGTTTTGCTAGTATTATTTTTTTTAAAACCTGATTAATGAAAAACTAATTAAAGGACAAAGGCGTAGAGTCGTCACTAGAGGTCTAGGACGTAGGTTATATTTATATTTGAAAAAATGTTAGAAAATATATTTATATAAAATATAACATATTGTTAATATATAAATATATTATACTTATTCAGTTCGGTTCGAGATTTTACGGTTTTCTTTTATAAATTAAAAAGATCATTCCAATTATTCGATACGATATATACTTAAATAAAAATCTACAATTTTAATTAAAAAATAACATAAATCAATTCGATACGATTCGATTCAGTCTATTTAATATTGACACCCTGTAAAGGGATTTTGTGTTTATGAAGAAGAGTGATACATATGTGCTTGCGTCACGTCGTGTATAAATTATGAAAACGAGTGCCGAGTCAACTGTGGTCAGCAGTGTTTTAGTGCAGAACAAGAGAAAGGTGGAAAAAAAAGGAAAGAAAAACTATAAGGAGAAAAACATACAAAGAAAATTTTGTAAACAAAATATAAAATCCTACTAATATTTTGGTAAAAAGTTATACTAATATTATTTATATTGAGAATAAAATCAACCAAATGAACAGAGACAAATTTAATATTTAAAAGTTTATGAATTTTAATTTAATTTTTTAAAGTTACTAGATTCTATCAACTTATATTTTTATAAATATCAAATTATTTTTAAGATAAATATTAATTGAGTTAATAATTGAATTTTGTCTAACGCTGTACCATAAGGGACACATTGTTCGTACTTTGTCGTCATTGGCACTTTATAGCGGACAAACAATACCAAAATATATCTACTTGTAGCGATAATCACATGGCCGCGTGAAACGTGAGATGTTCTAAATCCAATTTACGTGTGTGTAATAGAGAAAAAATGTCTATTTTTTCATATTTAATCAGTTAAAATGTTATTTTTTATCTCAATTTATGTGACATTTTTCAGATTTCTAGATTCAAACAAATGTAGTTTTGATGATAAATTTTTCAAATATCTTTTAAATATTTTGAATTGTCAATTATTATGACTTATGATATTTTATACGTAGTTTACAAATATATAAATTTCATTTCAAAAAATTTAAAGATTTCATGTGTAAATTTTCTATCAAAATTAAAGTATTTGACTCTCGAAAAAACGAAAAAGTGTCTATAAATTGGGATAGAGAATGTATGAAACATCTTTTTTCGAAAAATAAAATTCTTAAAAATGAGAATGATTTTTCTAATGAAATTAGGAAAAACAAATTTCACAAGTGACATTTCAAATTTCTTGTGTTCGAACCCCGGCCTCCCCAACAACCAAAACCCCAATCCCCTTCCCTTGACCATCCTCTCCCCACCACCCTCGATCACCCCCTTCCCCTCTCCGATAGTGTTTTACTAGATTACATAAAAATACTTTTGACATGATATCTTTTTTACTTAAATAAAACAAACCAAAAAATACTTTCCTGTTGCATGGGAAAACATTTTCTTTCACAACTTTAAATTTCAAAATTTACTATTATAAGCAACCTCAAACACTCATTTTTTTAAGTATCAATTAAAGGTATGATAAAACGCTAGTTAAATTAACATTCAAATGTCGCCTCGTCTCTAATCTCTATTTCTATTTTTAGTGCTACACTGCTGTAATCCTCTGATTACTTTTCTGTACCTTAATTGCAATTTACAGATAAAAGGAAACTCTTTGTATTGTACTGTAAAAAGAGAAACTGCCTTGCAATTTCCTTCTCTCATTTTTTTCCTCTTTTAGTTGACGTCGTAATTTGACCATCTTTTTCTTGTGCATTATTTTGAAATCATCTCACCTTCTTCCTGCATTCTTTATGTTTTCCCTAAATACATAAAATATAACTAAAGTCTTCAAAAAATGTAATTCCACTAAGGTCAATACCTGTATTAAGAAATCCAACTCTCAATAACTAATGACAAAATAGTTTGGTGCCTATCCATTAGACCATAAAGCTTTACAACCTCCAAATATTCAACATTTCATACTTCAAGTTGACAAAAATATATACTTCTTCTGTTCTAATTTATGTGGCGATGTTCGAATTTTGAGAGTGTTATTACATTTGAAGCTGCAAAAGTTTATACTACTACTATCTCATGTATACCAATCAGCTTTGCAATTTGTTTCATATCAATTGATCATGTTTCAAAATCAATCAATCTGCTTCTTCTTCTACTACTTTTTTGTGTCTCTGTTTTTCTCCTTCGTCAGATCCAGTGCAAATAATGATACTTCCTCCTATGCATTTTGTCCTAAATCAACCTGCAATGGAGTGGAAATTTCATATCCATTCTGGAGACTTGACAATTACAACGCCAGCGCTCCTCAGTACTGTGGTTATCCAGGATTTGGAATCAATTGCTCAAAAAACCAACCGCTTCCGATTATTTACCTTCCAGGCGATGCTTTCTACGTCAAAAGTATAGATTATAAAAGCTATTCTCTCGCTCTAGTGGACGCTGATGTTTTCAATGAGACATGCCCTAGAGCACGTCACAACCTTACATTGGAGAAATTGCCGTTTAAGTTTTCCGATTCCGCTCTGGAACTTACCTTCTATTTCGATTGTACGGAACCTCTACCTGATTCTCTTCCCGCAGAATGCTTGAAATCAAGTGGAAACAGGACGTATTTCTACGTTGGGGAAACTGAGCCAGACTATTTGAACTGGTTTGGGATTTGTGAAGAGAAAGTGGTGGCGACGGTGAAGGAAAGGAGAAGATTCCAGAACAATGATTGGATCAGAGGATTTGGTGCCGCCATGGGAGAGGGTTTCGTGCTGGACTGGTGGAGCGCGTCGGAGTGCGGGCAGTGTGAGGAATCAGACGGGAGGTGCGGTTATAACAATTCAACCCATAACCTTTTGTGCTACTGCCGAGATGGTACCGTTAAGTTTAAACATTGCGAAGGTACACCCAAACCTCTTGCTATTTATCTTTCCTCATTCTTATAGAACATTGCTGCTAAATTTTCATAATTTGCTTAAATCTAGCTATAATTATCTTATATTTTTCATATAAGAAAAATCAAATCCCTTTATTCTTAGAATTTGAACTCAATTTTTTTAATTAAAAGTGAAAAAAAGTTATTTTTATTGAATCAAGGTTTGTAAACTTGTCTTAAGGTGGTAAGTCAAGACGTGTTTCATAAATTTAGAGGTCATTTGGTTGCGAGTTAGGAAGAGAGTTATTCATGCATTAAAATTAGCATATAGCTTGATAATTGTTTAATACAAAATTTAGCACATCAAATATGATGTTTAGTTATCATTTTACAATCTTATATAAAATAAATAAAATATGTACTATAATTATGGGTTAGTTTATATCTTATTTTATACAAAATAGACGATGAAATAATTAATCTTTGCATTATTAAAACTTTCATAATCCAACCGACGACCAAACAATCTCTTATAAAATAAGTAATAAATAAAATATAAAAGGGTTACAGTCCTACTTGTTCCAACTTAATGCTATTTAATTTAATCTAGAAAAAGTCCAATTCCATAGTTGGCGTACGTGTTTAGTCATTATCCTATTATCTTTTTTAATACGCCAATCAGCCAATGGTATCATGTTTTCTTGAATAGCTGATGTTCGTATTTGACTTTAATTCTAGTTTTTGCTTACTTTGAATTCAAAAGAATCAAATTGCATAGTTTATTGCGTCTAAAATCTGAAAGCAGATTGAATTTTCCGCAAAGAGCCAAAAATGAAGAGGCAGTACTGCGAATATACTGAATTGAAAGGCCCATTAAAGATTGGGCTATCAGCTAAGGGTGTCAAACTAAGCCCATAAATAAAGGTCCCGCCCAATTCATAAAAATATTTGGGTAAAACTTGCGATTATGATTTAGTGAAGACAGAAAGCGGGTTGAAATTGAGAACTAAATGGGGATAAGTTGACAATTATTTTTAAATGGAGAATAATTGGATGAGTTACAATTTAGGAAATCTACCTAATTAGAAAATCATCCTTACCATATTAAATTTCAGTATACTTTAAAATAATTACATCACCACTTGCTCTTCCTCGGATAGATCAGTGCATATTTGATACTAGATACATAGATATATGAAATTATGAAACATAGATACAGAGAAGTAGCGGGATGAGGGAGGGAGAGAGGCGAGATACATTCGCTTAATACAATGTATCTAGAGGAAATTACATGGTATCTAGAAGCAACTCGGACAAGATACGTAATTATTGAAACTATGCGCTAAGTAATTAGCATCTATATTAGTATGTTTTATAAAAAAAATTCAATTTATCAATATTAAATTATCTTAAGCTCAATCCATAAAAATATGGATAGATTGGGCGGATCCTTTGTTTTAGGCTTAGTTTGACAACCCTAGGTTAACCCATTTTAACCTATCCAATTTCAGGCAAACTGGCTCATTTGACACCCCCTAGGGTAGCCCATTTTGTTTTAGGACAGATCTATGAAAATTAGGGAAGAAATTAGAAAAGATGACAACATTTGCGTTGGAACCTTACGCTTATGTGATCAGTGCGAACTACAACTCAAGTCGCAGTTTCTCTCTTCAGCACGACCCAAAAGAACTTTTTATTTTATATATATATATAAATATAAATAAATACGTAATATATATATATATAAACAAGCCTTGTTTGTAGACAAAATTCAGGTTTCTGAGTGTCAGGGCATAAAATAGCCTACCCCTTTTTATTATTTATCTCCTGTTATATTCTGACTATCAGCTTCACAAAATGCCAAAGAATATTTAAAAACCTTAATAATATACACATTGTCAACAGGTGCAGTCAGGTTACGAATATGATGTGATTTTTGGAATTTTATATTCCAGGCAAACAAAGAATTCTCAAACACACATGTCCTTTCTTGTTCAAGAGTTTCCGCCTCTTTTCCTTTCTTTACTTTGTTTTCTTTCATCTAGACCTGTATTTTTAGTCTGCGGAAAGTTTCAGCTTTCAAGGCTATTGAATGGAAGTTACCAATAAGATTGGTGTAAAATATTTATCCCTTTTTTATTCATTTGAAATTTCTCCTTCTAGTTGTGAACAAATGAAACTTATTTTCGTCCCACTCGTCTAAGTTGAAAAGTGAAATTTTCTATAGTAAAATAATCACAGAAAGTCTTATAAAACATGAGCAGCCATTTGTTTTTTCGTTTATAACAATTCTCAAGTTTGCCATCTTTTGTTAGTCAAAACTGGATTAACTTTGACACTTGAACACCTCAATTGAATCATAGATTTTGCCAAACTCTTCTAATACATAGGTTCTCCAACCAACATAGTCTATCATTGATGAGTTCTCACAAATGCATGCTCAAAACTTCCCTCTTCCTCTGCTCCACTCCATCATCGCCTTCCTATGTTTCTTGATCACGACCTCGCCATCGTATGGCCAAGAGGATAAACAGTATTCCACTTGTAATAGCTCCTACACCTGTGGGAATATTCAAAATATCAGCTTCCCTTTCTGGGGTGGTGATCGACCTCAAGAATGTGGTCTTCCACAATTCAAGCTTGCATGTGATGCCAATCAGGATCCCCTTATACATATCGATGGTCATAATTTCCGCGTACTTGACATCAATGGAGACAATCAAACCATGAGAGTTGCACGAAATGATCTTGATGAAGACATTTGTCCTGATAGATTCGGTAACACTAGCTTAAATGATGCCCCTTTCCGCTATGGTCCTGACTTTATGATTCTCATCCTGTTCTATGCTTGTCCTTTCGATATACCCTCTGAATGGAAAAATTTCACCTTTAGCTGCAATAACACTGGAGAGTCCAGTCATGGTTTCTATCCAGATCGGTCATTTATATCATTCTGGGGACCAATGTATGGGAGTTGTGAGCGTAATGTCACAGTTCCTGTGTTGTTAACGGCATTTCAGCGGTTTGAAGACCAAGGAAGTACGAAGATATTGGAGCTATTGAAACAAGGGTTTAATGTGGTTTACAACAAAAGCCCAGTATGTATGGCTTGTGAGAGGTCAGGGGGATTATGTTGGTCAGAAACAAATTTTGCGGTGCCAACTTGCCTTTGTCGGGACCGGACTTATTCCTATTACTGCGGTTATGTACAGGAACAAGGTGTGTTCCATCTCTAACTTATCTTTTTTGCCAAAAATTAGTCGAACCTAACTGGTAGGTCAGAGTCTTCAACTGTCAAATATGACTGCCAGAGAAGAGAAAAAAACCTATAGGCTGCCATGTTTTGGTGGAAACTCCAATTCTTTTCACACCTTCCTATTTTATTCAATCCCTTGTAACATTTGTTGGGGCATTCTTTATCAAGTTTATGAAGCCCAGATAATAAAATATAGCTACAGTTTGCCTAGCACTAGCCCTTTTTGATGATGCCTGTTCTAAGAATTTAGTAGTACTAGACAGCAGCAAGTTTGTATTTGCTTCACCCAGCAAGATAGGTATATCAAAATTTGTAATCAATGGAGATAACAATGCATTTTTAGAAAGATTACTTCATTAGTTGAGCAACAGTTTAGCAATGGATTCTATTTTCAAGGAATGAGAATTTCCTAAGGGATTGGTTTTCAAGAATTAGCTGAGATATATGATAGAATGGCCATAAAAACACCAATGATCCGAAGTGATTATCTCAAGATTCTTGAAAACCATAAATCTGTGAAAGGGAGAAATACAAATACTTCTGTACTGAAGACGAGAATTCTGCATTTGCAAGTCTCAGTCAGGGTATTCTTTGCTAGTCCTTAAAGCGCATGTGGATGCTATGACAAAATAAAACAACTTTTTCCCACTCTGTTTCTATGATTTTACTTCTACCAACCTGAGATTTGAATACTTCCCGAATTACTTTTCCTTTCTAGTTCTTCTTACCTAATCCGTGATTGAAATCTCTAATTCTTTTGCCGCGTCTAGAGTATTTTGACTCTCTTACCCAGTAGGTGTTGAAGGTGGACTTTAGATGTTAATAAGACTTACAAATTATTTTTCACCTATTCGCCTGACTTCAGTATTCAGGCTTTTCAAAATGTTGTTTTAACAACAGTTATTTTCCTTGTTTCCTTCTCTTATCTGGTTTTTTTGTTTTCTCCATTTGTAAATTGCGCCAGCAATGCTACAGATTATTGTTTTGCGATTATTTGTACTGAGCTTCTAGTGCACTATAACTATGCAGTAGAATTATGCCAGAAAGAACCCTGTTTATGCAAAAATGAATTACCAGAACTTCTGCAAAAGGAAATGAGGCTAATATGTCAAGATTGCCTGAATAACAGAGGGCACTATATGGTGTGCTTGAATAACAAATCCAACCCTAAACAGAACAACGTTTTCATAGTAAATTCAGAAACTTTAAGTCCAAATCCACGTTTGACTATGTTTCATAACAGACTAGAATATAACCACATAATTCCTCTATAGATTAGAAACAGTAAGGTGATAGAAGTTGTATTTATGTCTTTATGATACTACTGGAGATATTTATAGTGGTTCTGTATCATCTGATCACTTGTTTATGTCTGCATTACAGGCGATAAAAGAGATATCAGAGTGAAGGTTGCCGTAGGTAACTGTCCTTTGACCATGTTCATCTTATGATATCCTTCTCTTTAACAATGATCAAGAACTTCCTAGTCACATATTTCTCTCTTTCAGGTGTAGCTGCAGCTGCATTCACTGCCATTGTGGCATGCGTAATTTTCTTTCTCTATTATCGTCGACAGAAGAAACGTCATGCTGGTTCGTCTTTGATATCCAGAAGTATCCTTTCCTATCCCACCTCAACAATGGACCCTGAAAAGGCTTCGCACTATTTCGGAGTTCACGTCTTTGACTACAATGAACTGGAAGAAGCCACGAACAGTTTTGATTCTAGCAAAGAGCTAGGAGAAGGTGGATTTGGCACAGTATATAAAGGTAAGAGAAATTATCCCGAAGTGGGCTTTCTCTCACTGCCAACCTGCTACTAAACCTAAACATTTGATCTGATTCATTAACCATATGATTGAACATGACATGTTATAGGTAAACTTCGAGATGGGCGTGTTGTTGCTGTAAAACGTTTATATGAGAACAACTACAAGAGGGTTGAGCAATTCCGAAATGAAATTGAAATCCTCACTCGTTTGCGCCATCGAAATCTAGTTACCCTTTACGGATGCACATCTCGCCATGGCCGTGAGCTTCTTCTTGTGTATGAATATATTTCCAATGGTACTGTTGCTGATCATCTTCATGGGGAATTCTCAAAGCCTGGATCACTTTCATGGAATACACGAATGAGCATTTCCATAGAAACGGCAAGCGCGCTAGCCTTTCTCCATAATTCAGAGGTCATTCACCGAGATGTAAAAACTAACAATATCCTCCTAGACAGTAATTTCTGTGTCAAAGTAGCTGATTTTGGGTTGTCTCGGCTTTTCCCTACTGATGTTACACATGTCTCAACAGCTCCACAGGGTACCCCTGGATATGTTGATCCCCAGTATCACGAATGCTATCAACTCACCAGTAAAAGTGATGTTTATAGTTTCGGTGTGGTATTAATCGAGCTTATATCCTCCCTGCCAGCTGTTGATATCTGTAGGCATCGACAGGAAATAAATCTATCAAATATGGCAATTAACAAGATTCAGAGCAACACATTACATGAGCTGGTTGATTCAAATCTTGGTTTTGACTCCAATGACATGGTAAAGTTGATGATCACTGCCGTGGCAGAGTTGGCTTTCCAGTGTCTTCAGAACGACAGGGATTTGAGACCATCCATGCCGGAGGTTTTGGAAGCTCTACTGGGAATTCAGAGTATGGATAAAACAGCAACAGAAATAGGGAAGCCAAGTCCCGGTGATGATGCTGGATTGTTGAAGAATCACGCATTATCTCTCTCACCCGATTCAGTTATTTCAAAATGGACTAGCAGTAGCAGTTCAACAACACATGCTTCCAGTATTGGCTAAGTTTATGCCCTTAGTTTGTCTAGTTTGTGGTTTTCTTGATAGTGATTCTTCAGCCACCTGCTCTATTGGTCGCGGAAGGTGAAGTTTAGTGTCTTTCCTTTGAGTACTTTGGACCTTTTTCTATCTTAAAGAGGTTGTACATATCTCGTATGCAGCAATTTAAATTTAACAATACTAATTCAATTCATTTCTTAAATTCTTTAGTTAAATTGTGTAGATACTTGTTCAATTGATCATCTTTGTCATAACAGATTTTGAGCAAGTTTTACCAGGGTGAGTAAATAAGATTATATTTTGTCTAGTGTAGCAGGATATTGCTGTTGAATATATTTGATAAGAATTTTATCTTAATGAGCAAGTTTACATTTTGTTGTGCCTTCATTTCATTGCTCAAGACTTAATTATATAAAACATACCTAGTGTAATCCCACAATCGGGGGTTTGGGAGAGTAGAGTGTACACAGATCATACCCCTATCTCGTAAAGATAGAGAGGTTGTCTCCAATAAACCTTCGGTTCAAGTAAAGCATTTCAAAGAAGTTTGAAAAAGAGAATACAGAAAAGAAAGAAGTGACAACAATGAAGTAGAGCCCTGTGTAAAGCAGTACATAGCATACAAAAAAAGAGCAATAACAAAAACAAACTAGTCGTGATAACTGAAGTACAAAAAACACAGATGATAAAGTGGTGGCAGGCACCGGTAATAGGATTAGCTACCGGTGTTTGCCATCAATGCAGGTAACTATAATTTTTCAATTTAATTTTTAACTGTTCATGTTCAGTTGCTTGATTTGATTTGGTGTAAATACTAGGTTTTGTACCTGCCAACTTCAGAACAATTTTGGAAATTTCAAGAAGTTGTAAGAAGGGTACTGTAAATAAAATAAACAAGACATAACTGAATGCATAATCAAAGTAAAAATTTGCATTAATTTGTTCATTCAAATGAACAATCACTCTCTACAATAGACAATTCAAATTTGAATCTTAAAAAAAAATAAAAATTGAAACATACTTTTGCATACTATTGCCAGACCACACATCTTTTACAGAGGGGTGGCGCAACTTCTACAACAATTTTCAGCCCTTTATTGGGCAAAATTTTGTTCCTACACACTATGTACATTTACCTGTAAGCATAAGTTCCATTCCTTCATTGTCTTCTGTTTACAAGAATTCAAATTAACTTCTATATGCTCTGACGGTGTAAAATTTAACACAATTCTCTATTAGAGGATCCAACTGATAAGTAACTACCACGGTTATTATCAGCAAGTGTATCCAATGTAGTTAGGATTACCAATCCAGCCATTGCATTCGACTAATTGTTCAGATGCATCTGTCAAAATTGTGTTTTGTTGATAGGATCGTATCATTGGTTGTTGCTGCTGATGAACATTTGGATACTCATCCACCATTGGTTCTCCTGTTCATATGACAAAATCATTATATTATGTATTAGTAGTAGTTAATAACCAACACATTGTACTAATGTGTTGACTCTTGCTAATAATTCCAAAAACTTGTGTTTTCTGAAAAAAAAGACCTCTTTACATAATCTTGCTAATAATTCCAAAAACTTGTGCTTTGTGCATGGTTGACATATGTGATACTATTAGGAAAGCTTAAACACATTAATTATGACCTAGTAATCAATGAAATGGATCGAGAACCATGAGGTTTCATATTTAAATTCATATTAGGTGATTTCATCATCTGTTCAAATTTCGATGCGCAGAGTTACCCAATATCTATGCTGATGAAAAAAGTAAGAAATAACTCGTGTGCTGGCCCAAACACCACAGTTTTTTTTTTTTTGTACGAAGAAGTACCTTGAGTTAGTAGTGCTGTCTCATCAACTTCCTCTAAAGAACTCCAATTGTCATAAGCCTCCTTCACCAAATTCTGGATATAGGCCTATTAATTAACAGTTGTACAGATATTAGCAAAGTGTTCAAATACAAAATTTACAATATCTCAAGAATCAAACTCACAAAGTGCATATAAAATCATACCTTTTGTATTCCTGGGAAGTCATGAGTAGGGTAAATTTGCCCATTAATAACTGCCCTAACAACTTGACAAATCGGAGTAAGGATTAATTCGTAGTTTGGTCCATGGGCCATGAATAACTTTGAGCCCATCTCACAAGTTTTTGCATGCTTGTATGTCACTTCCCACATTTTATCTGACATTCCAGTTCCCAGTATCTGTATAATCACAAACAGTTTAAGAGATCTTTGTAATTCATATTTAATTTATATTTGTTTTGTGCGAGTAGCTAGAAGCTTACAGTTCTAATTTGTGGTGTGTCAATAGTAGCCAACTTCAAGAAATCTTGTACAGTGTTGATGCCTTTTGAAGAAAGCTTTTTGCGGAAAGTTCCATCTTTTCCAATCTTCTCAAGACGCCACACTTCATCTCCTAGTGCTGGTGGGTAATGTTTTTTGTACGCTGCAACATATTAACATGACACAAACTCATTAATTTTCAAGTAACCTATTAAAAAAAAAGTCAAATTACATGCTATAACATATACATTTTTTTTTAATGGAAAAGGGTCACAAATGTCCTCAAACTTGTGAAATTGAATTATTTTTTTTTGTCATTTGTTAACAGTCACATAATTTTATAAGAACATTTTATCATATCGGAGTCACTAAGTGAGCTTGTCCTAACTCCTAGCTAGCAGAGAGATTGCTCGGATACTAAACATGCTCAACCTCCAACCCTAAGTTTGTGTGTTCGAGCTAAGCAATAAAATATGAAATTCAGAATAATGAGTCAAGGACTTTTGTAAAGTTTAGAAAATTAGCTTTGAGCCTTTGACTCTAATGAAAGAAGAAGAAGAAATTGCTTACATTCTCCGCGGTGATCTTTAACCACAAACGATTCAGTAACGGCTTCTGTAATTCGAACAGTAGTTTGATTGTTTCCAATTTGAACCACTTTTGCGCCAATTCTGAATTTCCGGCTCCGAATCCAGCTAGAATTGTCAGTAAACTCGATTTCCCCAACAGAGACGACGCCGTCTCGCATCGTGAAATTCAGTTCGCCGGTAAGCAATGGCCTCTTTCCGGTTCTCTCCTTAACGACGTGTTTGTCGAATTCTTCGCGAGACCAATTAGTTTCAGTATCTCCGGACGGGAAATCTCCGTTAAGTACGACGAGTTCTACTTTGATAGGGTAAGGTAAAGTCACCGGAACCATGCCTTCGCCGCTTGTATCCACCAGAATAATTTGAAGACTCTGGCCGTCGTCGCCGCCGGCGACGACTTTGCTTCCGGTGAATATTGGTTGCGAGAGCTTTTTGTTGAAAATGAGACGAAGATTCGATGGTTCTAATGCTTTGATTCTTAGTGAAGGAGATCTCGTTAATGAACGACATGAATAACGCCTTAGTCCATTCTCCACTTCCTCAGGAATCTGCAAAATCAATTTCATCGTGACAAAGTTAATTTCATAAACTTATCGTCAACACGAAACATAAAGTTTAGTAATCATACGTGAAATTTTAAGCCCTTACCACTCGACGGAGCATCGGTTCCAAAGCAGAAGACAAGTTCTCTAGGAAATTCGCCTTCATTGCTTCCTTAATAACACTACAAAAAAAAAAAAAAAAAGGATTTACTATAAGTCAGGTAATCGTGAAATTAAATATGTACATCGACATGAATTAATTGATATTTGAAAAAACGGAGACGTACGAAGCGAAAGAAGGTGTAGTAGATCTCATGCGTTTGTAATTCGGTTGGTTCGTATCCGGATTAGAGTTATCTAAAAGCCGTTTAGCTGCTGCCATTTCTGTATTGAGGAGTAAAGTGTGATAAGCTCAAGAAATTTTCAGTAGATGTGGGATGGGAAAGTATATGTATGCTTATATATATAGAGGAAGAGTATCTAAATTAATGTAATAAGTGGTTTATAATAAAAAGGAATAAAAGTATAGGTTATAAATATTTGTAATATTAAGTGTTAAATTGGGTAATTAGAGAAGTTTCGAGGAATGAAGAAAGAAATAGCGTGGCAAGAGAGGGTTATTCCCAACTTCCAAATGATCTAAGGCAGCCTGATGTAACGACTTTAACGTCAAGCCCCGCTTCAAGTCAACTGCATAAAAATCCAAAAAATATAACAACTCAATTCTTCGTATCGTTTACATAAAATCAATAAATACGATATTGTTTAAACTTATGAGCCGGTTAAACTAGTTTGTAAATATATTTTGACTTATCTACGTGTTTGATGACATTGAAAGACAGAAAGAGTATATAACTTATAAATTGAGATCAATCAAACATCATAAATTGGCCACCCATAATTTATGATTTTAGAACTTATAAACTTTTAAAAATATGTGTTTTTAAGTTATTGATTATTATGAATTTTAATTTTTTAAATATATAGATTATTGAAATATCTTTTTAATAATTTAATACTTAAATGACAAAAATATATTTTAATGCAATCTTATAAATTCCAAGAAAATTATATATGTCAATGAAGATATATCTGTTTTTTTCTACTATAGTATAATATACACAAAAGTGTATGTAGATATATGGATATGGATGTATTTCCTCATTACCAATCAAAGAATTATTTCATTTTTTAAAGAATTTATTTACTTTACTCACCATATATATACAAAAAGAACTCTCCCAAAACAATTCAGCTTATAATTTCTCCAAAGGGAAAAAAAAGGTATAGATCGGGATTCGGGACAAAAGAACTACTAGTACTTAGTGAATTAGTACTAGTACTAATTAAATAACGATATATATAAATACACAGATAATACTACAATTTTAGTAGTAGTTTTTTTTGGTCTAACTAACCCTTCCCGTAAACTAACATTATTTGTGTGTGAAACTTTTTTTTACCTTACAAATAAGCAGATACAAATTTTAGATTTTTGGATTCACATATTTTGAATCTATTTATTTAGGTCATCGTTATTTATATCTTTATTTTGTGTTGATCTTTAATTTATGTCCTCGTAGCAAAAAGACAAACACAAAGGTAAGTAAAAATTAAAAATTAATCTATTACATTTTTATGAGATAAAGAGAACCCTTAATACAATTATTATCTGTTGAGTGAATCACAAATACATAATTTATCCCACTACACACATAACAAACACACACACACACACAAAGGTTGACAGGAAGAATGGGACAAGAGAAGCCCAAAAAGCCACACATCC